ACTGGAGCAGTTTCTCAGTCTGAGGAAGAGGAAGCTGCAGCTGGCTCTCAACCCGAGGGCGAAGGTGGATCAGAAACCCAAGCAGAGGAAGTCATGGTTAATAAATCCAGAAGTGATGTTCAAGAAGAGTTAGAGGATGATGGGGGTGTTGCAGTTAGTCAGACTGAAGAAGACTATCACAAGGATGAAAGAGAGCAGGAGAAAGAGTGGAGATCGGAGAATCTTGAGCACGATGTGAGGTACATCAGTCACAGGGCTTATCGCTCTGAGGGTAGACTCATTCCTCTCAAGCGAAGAGATGATCCGACTGAAGCTCCTGCTGCAGGTAAAGTTCTCTGTGGGAGTCTTTCTATACTGAATAATAGGAGGATAGATAGGATGAGTCTTCCTTTAAAACCATGTTCCTGGTGTTTTATTCCAGGTCGGTCTTACACCATGTCCAAAGGCCCCAGTGCTCTGGGTTTAAACAGCAGCACTGAAATGGGAAGCCAGTTCCAAAGTGGAATTTCAGATTGGCCTAAACCCTCGCTCCAAGATCAGGAGGACGACTCCGGAGCAGAAAAGGATCTGATGGGTGGAGAAAACACCTCAGCTCACCAGATTTGCCATGATGTTGAAGTCTGTGAGCAGCAGAGTGATCCCCCCGCAGAGGAAGTTCCTTCTGAGGATGCTGGAGAACAGGAAAAAGAGTGGGATGAGGAGGATGATGATGAAGGTTAGTGTTTGTCCTTTTAGTGTGTGATTTTTATATATATTTTGTTATTTATTTAGAAAGGAATAAATCACGTTTTGGGTTCTTTGATACCTAGAAGTCCCCACCAAGACACCAGCGTTTGTCAGAGAGAAGAGACACGTTTTTGTCAGCAATGCTCAAGCATCGCCTTCGGTTTTTAGAAAGGATAACAAAACGTAAATTCTACTTCTTTTTTTCTGCCGTGCTACTCTTTTCTACCAACATTAATTTTTTTTACATGCTAGAACAGGCTTACCCTATTCTCTTTTTGTTTGTTGCACTTTCAGAATTACAAGTGACACTTTACCTGCAGCTAAACCAAAGCAGGTTAAACGCAGGAAAAACGAACAATCCCGAAAGGAAACCGTCCTCCCTAAAAGCTACCTTATGAGTACCTTCAAACATTTTGCCAAAACAAGAGTCTCTGCAGATGTCTTCCCGGTCCTAAACGAGATGTAAGAAACACAGTTTATGTTTTTTTTTTTCCATCTATTCCATATATTCCATCTTTAAAAACAAAGAGCAAACACTGTCTTTACTTGTATAATTGCATATATTATGATCCATATCTTCTCTGTGGCAGAATGGATACATTTCTTACCCGTGCTGTTGAGGATCTGGAGGTATATGCAGCCCATGCAAAGAGAAAAACTATTGAGGTGGAAGATGTTAAACTTCTGTTGAGAAGGTACATTTGCTGTCCACCCTGTGGAGAAAGTGTCATTGTATATTTTCTGTTTAAAAGGGAGAATATTAATAACTCATAAAGCTGCATTAAGAAGATTATGATAAAGAAAAGCCTCTAGATGTTGTGATTTATTTTGGTTTAAGAAAAAAATTACCATTAAACTTACAAAATAACATTTCATTTGTTCCACAGTGTAGTTTATCATTCATGATTTAAAATAATTCAAATGTTTTTTTCGGTTTGAAAACTTTGAAAAACCCCTTAAGCATTTTTTTTATTTTTTTTTTAGAATATTCTTTTTGTTACAATTCACACACCCATCTGAATTGATCATGTAAATCATTATAGCATCTTTTTTTTTTTTTACAAAGTTTAACAGTTTCATTTACTTTTTCTGTATTTACCTGTGTTTTTTGTTTTTGTTGCATTGTACAGGCAGGGCCACATAAGTGACGAGGTGCCTGTGGAGGTACTCATTGAAAAGTATCTACGTATGGAACAGCGAAAGATTCTGATCCCCATCGCTACCAGTGGGAATGTTGTTATCCCGTAAAACCTCAGTTCCTCATTTAGTTTCCGTGTAAAGCAACAAAACATTCATAACAGAGCCTTGTACATGTGTTAATATTTCTCTAAATGTTTACTTCAATTATATAGTTCCTGTTTTTGTATTATATTGGATAGAGTTTGTAAATGTTTAAAGGTTGAAATAGTTTTGTCGATAGTTGTTAAGTGTTTTCACTGTATTATCTCTTCTCATAAAGAAAATAGGTTGCAATCAATTAATAAAGTTCTGTGTATGATATTTGTTTCATTTGAGGCCTTTGTACATTACCCATTAGTAACATTGTGACTTGTATAAGCAAATGTATTTTAGCAGAAATCTGTTTAAACTTGTTATATACGACCATTTTATATTTTAGCTGTCAAGTAAAATAAAGTTGGATGGAATATTTTGTAGCTTTAGCAGTTTAAAGAATGGTCGAAGCTTTTGTGAGGTTTTGTGAGAGAACTACTTTTGAGTTTTGACATGTTTCTCCTTTGTCCACTAGATGGCGCAAATGACTATGAAACCTGACTAGCCTAACAGGTGTTCATTTATTATGGGAACTAAAACCAAGCCTTACACCTTTAAAACAGTTTGTTTTATCTTAATGCACTTTGGAATCACACCAGGATTTGTTCCCCATTAAATTACTGGCCTCATTTCTATTAAGGAACATAATTTGCATTCATAAGGCGTTGCTGCTCAGAACAAAGACACTCATATTAATAATTGAACTTTATTAATCTCATATTGGAGAAATTAACCTCTGCATTTGACCCATCTCCTTTGGAGCAGTGGGCCGCCATTGTGCGGCGCCAGGTGTTATGCCGAGAAATGCATCCCCTCTCGCGGGAGCGCGCGTCGCTCTAAACTCTCGCTTATTGATGAGAAAACTGACTCAAATCTGACCGAAGAGGAAACTTTTAAAGATATTCTTTACATTATCACGATTCTTAACCATATAAGCCCTAAAACGGTGGATTTTATTTCGAAGATTATTTACAATAAATACGGTTTTACGACATACTAGTCGAACGTTTTTCAGTCTGTCTTTGATGAAAATGTTCTCCGCAGCAGGTTTAAAATCCCCCGATTTTTCTTTTAACACCATAGCTTAAAGTATGACAAATCAGAGGAACATTATATACAACATTTATTATCGCCCTTAACTATGGAGGACCAACTCTGCCATATTTAAAAATAAATACAGAAATAAATAAATGCTCAATAAATATGTAAGCATACAATTAATTGCCAACAAAAATACAATAAACAAATAAATGTAAGTAGAAAATAAATTATACAGTGAGACATAAATGTATATAACTAGCTTCTTTATTTATTTGCCTTTGTAATATTTACCTTATTTTTTTTTGTCCTTTACAATCTTCAACTTAATTATTTAATTACTTATACTTAAGTATTTATTTATGTGCATGTTATAATATTTTTTTCTGTTTTATTCTTCCTTTGTATTTTTTTACCTTAGTTATTTCTTCGCCGCTGTTTATTTCTGTCTGCCCTTTTTACATTTCTGCCTGTTGTATTTACATTTCTGTATGCATTTCTGTCTCATTATGCAAATGAGGAGGGGGTTATTTTCTAAATGATTTGTGCCACATAAACGGTTTCAGATTTTAAGTCATAACCACAAACTTTTGCACCTTTTTATTAGTTTAGTGATTAAACAGTATAAACAGTCCAGCTCTCTGACTCTAGTACATTTGGTGATACACACAATGTGGAAAAACAAGAACAGAAAGGCTCCACCTCAAACTACAGAAAGCCGTGGAGCTAAAAGATCAAAGGACTAGACTGACAGATAACAAACATTAAATAGGTTTATAAATCAGCCAAATTGGCTACATTCTATTGAAAAGAAACAGGCAAAAACTAAATCCTAAACATCAATGTGGCCATGTTAACTGCTTGAAATATATTTGTGATGCTCTAAAAATAAAATGCAGAATTTTTTGAGACTTGTTCATTTGACAAACTTGTTGAGTCTGCCTTCCTCCTTGTTACGCTTCAATCCTCTAGAGTTTTGCTTCCTTCCAGTAGCATCTGCAATCAAAATGTATTTCTATAAATGTTTGGAAATCCTACATGTTACAAAAATGTGTGTATGTGTATATATATACACATTTTGTCACCTTTGTCTGTTGTATGGTTCTCTTCAAAACCCTGATTTCTTCTTTGTAGTTGCTTTCCAGCACTTCCTTCCTGCAAGCTAGACTCTTTTTCCTTATTTCAAATTCCTCTTGCTGTTCATCCATTTTTTTCAGCAGATCCTGTTTCTCCCTTTCTAGGTCTTCAACCTACAAATGTGAAAGACACAGTAGGAAGTCCACAGCTATCAGTTGCATCTGGAAACAAAGAGTTCTCTCTGCTGGATTTTTAACGAAAATCCAATAACATAGTTTAAGCTAGAAAGGGTTGAAATTATTAAATGCGGCTTATTAACAAGAAAAAAAAAGTTTTATTCATTGTAATAAATTATATACTGATGCCCTTACCCTTTTATTTAAATCCACTGTTGCATTTTCAGTTTGTAGCGCCTTTCCGCTGCCAAAAAGAATGCTGCTTTCAACCATCTTCTGGTAGGTTTGGATGGTCATTTGACTCTCGTCTTTGACTCTCAGCAGAAGCAGACCCACCTCAGCACAGGTTATGGTGCTCTGCCTGATTATTTCATCTAATGAAGATAGAAATTAATGCATTGTCAAAGTTATAAGTGATCCAGTCTTGTGTAATTTTGACAAATATGGTCATGTAGATAAAAAATGTAGTAGAAATCCTAGGTTTGAATCTACATACAACATTTACATGAATTTCATATGTTTGTCCCATTTAATTTTTAAAGTGATTGTTCCAGGTGGAAAAAATTACACATTTTTTTCCATTTCAGTTTAAAATACACTAATACATCTCCAGAAATATTTGAATAAACAATCCTTTCCAAGAGTCAGAGAAACTATGTTCTGTCTGTAGATGTTCCCAAGCTTTTTACTGATTATCTTGGGTTCTTTAGNGAATTTCTTGAGACTTGTTCATTTGACAAACTTGTTGAGTCTGCCTTCCTCCTTGTTACGCTTCAATCCTCTGGAGTATTGCTTCCTTCCAGTAGCATCTGCAATCAAAATGTATTTCTATAAATGTTTGGAAATCCTACATGTCACAAAAATGTGTGTATGTGTATATATATATACATTTTGTCACCTTTAACTGTTGTATGGTTCTCTTCAAAACCTTGATTTCTTCTTGGTAGTTGCTTTCCAGCACTTCCATCCTGTGAGTTTCACTCTTTATCCATACATCATTTTCCTCTTGCTGTTCATCCATTTTTTTCAGCAGATCCTGTTTCTCCCTTTCTAGATCTTCAACCTACAAATGTGAAAGACACAGTAGGAAGTCCACAGTTACCAGTTGCATCCGGAAACAAAGAGTGCTCTCTGCTGGATTTTTAACTAAAATCCAATAACATAGTTTAAGCTAGAAAGGGTTGAAATTATTAACAAAAAAAAAAAAGTTTTATTCATTGTAATAAATTATATACTGATGTCCTTACCCTTTTATTTAAATCCACTGTTTCAATTTCAGATTGTAGCGCCTTTCTGCTGCCATAAAGAATGCTGCTTTCAATCATCTTCTGGTGGGTTTTGATGGTCATTTGACTCTCGTCTCTGACTCTCAGCAGAAGCAGACCCATCTCAGCACAGGTTATGGTGGTCTGCCTGATTAATTCATCTAATGGTGACAGAAATGAATGCATTGTCAAAGTTATAAGTGAACCAGTCTTGTGTAATTTTGACAAATATGGTCATGTAGATAAAAAAAATGTAGTAGAAATCCTAGGTTTGAATCTACATACAACATTTACGGTACATGAATTTCATATATTTGTCCCATTTAATTTTTAAAGTGATTGTTCCAGGTGGAAAAAATTACACATTTTTTCCATTTCAGTTTAAAATACACTAATACATCTCCAGAAATATTTGAATAAACAATCCTTTCCAAGAGTCAGAGAAACTATGTTCTGTCTGTAGATATTCCCGAGCTTTTCACTGATTATCTTTGGTGCTTTAGCTACTTTTCCAGGCATTGTTAATCTAAATTAAAATAGTTTGTACAGTTAGGCACAGACCCAGCTTTTTATCATAGCCTATAACAATTAACCAAATGGTCGGCTTCGGTCAGACACATCTATTCCTTGCTTCCCGCTTGCTTATATTTTCTTACTTTTTTAGAATTTTGGGAAACAGGCCGAGTCTAATGAAAATAACCACACTGGTAGCTGGTGTGGTGGGATGGTGTTCCACCAGGCCCACTCTGTGCACCAAGTGTAGCAAGAAGCAAGCTGTTGATTGGTGGGCAGGACAGGTGGCCTTATAGCTGAGCAGGCCTCTACAAGTTGCATCTGTCTTTGTTTTACCTACATGTCAGCTGCCTAAGTGGCTGGTGTGCTTG